ATTCGAGTCTGAGCTTGGTGTACTTGATATATGTAAATACAGAAATGTAGTAATACATGTAATGAAAGTATTAACAATAAATAAAGTCATGGGCAAAATCCCACCTGAATACCAAAAAAAAAAAAGAAGTTATTAGAAGAAAAGTGTATTTGGTTTAGAGTAAAGGAACTTAAAGAGAAGGATGAAGAGATAAGGTAAGTTGTATTAACAAAGGAATTAGTTAAAGGTAAAGAAAGGTAAGGCCATGTAGTTGAAATTGTATTATTTGATAATGATTAGCAAATGTTAGCAAACTATAGAGGTTAACAACCTTTAGTAGATTTGCATGTATATAAATAAATATTATTCTATAGCAGAAGATATTTGTTATCTGCAGTAGTAATTTGTTCAAGAAGGAGTAAGCATTATTTTTTAAACTATTTATAATGGATACATGTAGATTTGGTAGGAGAATATCATAAATTAAATGAATTTTAGAGAAAAATTCAGAATAATTGTCATTAAGTGGAAGGTTAAAGAGTGTGATATTGTTCATAGCTAATTGTGAGAGTTGAAAATAAGTGTAAAATTTGCTACTTTATGTTTATAGAAGGTAAGTAAGTTAGAAGAGAGCTTAAGAGCCCAAATTTTAGTTAATCATGATTTAATTCATATGAGACCAATATTTTTAAGAATTGGACTAGAATTAAAAATGCACTCAATATTAGCTACAGAGGTTTAAAATTAAAATAGCTTGAATTTAAAAAAAGCATTTTTATTATATATGCATTATACACATTATATTCTTATTGTATACTACTTTAATTGTCTAATTATAAGATTTCTAATAACAATATTTTAATTTTTTTTTAATAACGAAGCTTTTTTAAATTTTTAGCAAGCAAATTTTTTATTTTACCATCTACTTCAACCTGAACTCAATCCTTTTTTTTACTGGTACTGAATTCTCATCCTTTAACGGTTGATCAAAAAAAGGTATCCACTTTGATTATCATAAACAAAATTTTTACAACGGCATTAAAAATTTGATTTTTTTGTTAGGTTATTATATTTTTCTAAATAGGTGTCATAGCATTTATAGTTAATTATATCATTAAAGTCTTCAGGGGTATTAAAAATTTTAGAAAGTTTTATCATCTTAGCTTACTACAAAGTAAACAACTTACTACAAACTTAAACTACTCATTTCAATTTAAGGAGCTTATTTATAATTTCAATTTAAGGGGCTAATTTACTATTACTGGTAGTACTTGTGTTATTACATATAAGTTAAACCAGTTTGCCCGATCCTTGACATGTACAAAAAAATTAGTTTTTTTTTTTAAATGCACTGGTCTTTTTGTACTACTCTGTATAGCTATAAATATGATTGTTTTTCTTGACTTTTTTTTTTTTTTTTAACTTATTCTTCTAACTTATTCCTTTAACTTATTTTTCTAACTTATTTTTTTCTAACTTTTCTTTATTTCTTTCTAACTTATTTCTTTCGAACTTGTTCTTCTTTCTAACTTATTTCTTTCTAGCTTATTTTTTTTTAACTTATTTTTTTTTAACTTATTTTTCTTTAGCTTATTCTTCTTTAACTTGTTTTTTTTTAATTTTTTTTTTTGTCATTTTATTTACAACAAATAAGCTTTTATGTATTTTTATTTATTTATTTTTTTTTGGCTTTGTTCTACTTTTTGTTTTATATTTATTTATGGTTAGCACTTACTAGTACCTTTTTTTTTTTACTTTCTTTTTTTTTTGTCACGTAGTGGTGTACTATATTTGTTGTAATAATTTGGCATAAAATAGAGTAGATGGATTACAGCTTTAATAAGCTATAAGTTATGTTTTTTTTTCTTTTTTTTTGTTCTTTAAAGTATTTGAAGTTTTGTAAATAGTTTTATTATTAAAGCTAACTCCAACTTGCTTTTTAAAGTTATAGTTATGGAAGTTTCATAGTACGCATATATGTACGTATATATGTTTAAAGAAATTTTCAGTCCACAAGAGCTTTTTGTATTATGTTTTATAGGATTTTTCGCATTATATCTCACAGGATTTTTGTATTACATCTTATAGCATTTTTTCTCTTTACATTTTAGATATTTTTCACATTATATCTCACAATATTTTTCACATTATGTTTCATGGTATTTTTTGCATTATGTCTCATGGTATTTATGTATTACATTTCAAGGTATTTTTCACATTACGTCTTACAATATTTTTCATATTGTGTCTTATGATATTTTTCACACTACGTCTCATAGTATTTACATATTATGTCTCGCAGTATTTTTTACATTATGTCTCTAAGTATTTTTTACATTACATCTCATAGTATTTTCGCATTACATCTCACAGTATTTTTTATATTACGTCTCATAGTATTTTTCACATTATGTCTTATAGTATTTTCACATTACGTCTTATAGTATTTTTCACATTATGTCTCATGGTATTTTCGCATTACATCTTATGGTATTTTTTGCATTATGTCTCATAGTATTTTTCGTACTATGTTTTATGATATTTTTTATACTATGTTTCACAGTATTTTCATATTACGTTTTGCAGTATTTTTCACACTACGTCTTATGATATTTTTCGTACTATGTCTTATAGTATTTTTGCACTAGGTCTTACTATATTTTTCATACTACATTTCACAATATTTTTTACATTATGTCTTATGGTATTTTTCATACTACATCTCACGGTATTTTTCACACTACGTCTTATGGTATTTTTGCACAAAATTTTTTATTTTACGTTTATAAGATTTTATATTATGTTTTATAGTATGTTTTATAGTATTTTTTATATTATATTGTATATTATTTTTAGATTAGGTTTTATATTATTTTTAGATTAGGTTTTATATTATTTTTATATTAGGCTTTGTATTATTTTTTATATAGGTTTTGTAATACATTGCACAAACTGTTGTAATATATAATGTGTATATTATTTATATGATATAAAAAAAGATCACTATTTCATTTTAATTAGATTTTGTTATAATTTGTGACAAAAATTGCTAACTGCTATATTTTTATAATATTAGTTTGATTAATTGTTAAAAAAATTTTCTCAAGAAGAATTTTAAAAATTTCATGATGATCCTTTTATACATCTTTAATACAACCTTGATCTACTTGGTTCTATTATATATAAATATATTAAAACATATATACACCATCATTATAGTACAATATAAAGATGGAATTTATATAGTTTAATAAATATTATATAATATAATTCCTAATTTTAACATAGGAGAAATTATATTTATCTTAATAAAATCATTGTAACTTGTACTATTCACCTTAAAGCTATCATAAAAAAAATATTTTTGCATTTGCTGAGATATAGCTATAACTATAAAAAGCATAAAAAACTTAGTTATTATAAATTTGATTGACTGAAAACCTATTTTAGAACCGTTATCATTCTAATAGTAGATATTTAATCTTTGTATTCCTTTATCTGAATATATTTAGCTTTTTTATTAAAAAGTTCTTGTATTTCTTTTGTAAATATAAAAGTAATAATTTTTTTTGTTCACAATTGTAAACTTTTTTATTAAAGCTTTTCATATATTGTGTTGTATTAGCACTAGCAGTAAATAGAGCATTATTATAACACAATGTTATTTTGAAGGTTTTGGGATAGCTATATTATACTTGGGCTTTCAGGTGCTTCTAAAAACCAAGAGTTATATCATTTTTTTGCATATTAAAAATACATTCTAAGAGCTTCTAAAGGCTAAGAACTATATCATATTTAAGTCTCTGGGATGCTTCTAAAAGACAAAAACTATAGTGATTTTTTTGCTTATTAGGAACACATTCTAAGAGCTTCTAAAGGCCAAGAACTATATCGTTTTTTGGTAAGATTTATTAAGTCATACGAAAAATAATATATCAGGAATATATTTTAAGGACTTCCAAAGGCCAGGAATTATATCAATTTTATTAGATTTATTAGCATATCTGGAATACATTCTAAGAGCTCTCAAAGCCAAGAACTATATTGATTTTTGGTTAGATTTATTAAGTCATACAAAAAATAAATCATATAAAATTAAAAAATAAGTTATATGAAAAAAAATCATATGAAATTTATAAATAAGTCATATGAAAATTCATGTGACCTTTTAAATCTAACGATTTTTTTTATAGACAAGAAAGGCTTCTATACAAGCTAGCTCATTAAATAGCATAATTATTAAATAAGTTTAATAAATTTTTTGTCCCAACTTTTCTTAGTCAAGAATAGATTTTACGCAAGCTAGCTTATCAAATAGCATATTAATCCTCCCCACCAATTCACTTCATTACATTACATTCATTGCCAGCTTAATAAATTATATACCATAGTTAACTAAAATAATCTGAATACGAGATTTATAAGTGGACAGGGATATTGCACCCAAAATTCTAGCTAAAATTAAGTGATTTGCTATACTTATTCTGGCTGACACTAGTACAATATTTCTCCTCTTCTAGTTTTATCAGATAGAGGCATTCTTTGCAAAGAGTGATATTAAGATTTGCAAGCCCAATCATTATTTCCTCATAAGTTCTTTCCTGTGTCTCTGATTGAGGTCTATCATAGTATTGGATAACATAATAGCCTCTAATATATAATGAGCATCAGCTACAAGCAGAAGTGTTGGCTTTCTGCAATCAGAACACGGTATCTGAATTTTTGATTTTCAATGAAATCGGCATCCTTCAGGTCTAATACAAGCTCTCCCACAAACCTTTCCGGTATTGCAAAGAAATGAGCAGGAATATTCACCGATCATCCTATTTTTTTAATACTAAATTTCAAAAGATTAATTAATAAATAGTTAATGTTTCAGTTTTTTGCAATAGCTAGAGCACTTTGATAAATAGCGCTTTAGCAATAACTCTATAATCTAAAAGTAAAAGGTATAGGAAATAATTAAAGAAAAATTATATAAGTAAGTAATAGTGTGACAGTAAGAGCAAATTATATACCAAATGTCAGATGCCTATCTTGATTATATTAAAGAAATAAGTATAGAAATAGCTGATTTCAATCCAATTGGTCCTACTGTCCATATACCTTTACCTAAAACTTTGCCCAAACGTAATAACAGAGTTATTAATATTTAAAATAATGATGACTAGTGTTTCGGATGGTGTGTTTTAGAAGCTTTACATCCAGTTAAAATTTATCTAGAAAGAAATCCACATCGGCTATATAGAGGTTTCGTGGAGAAACTTAATATGGAAGATATCCCAATTCTAGTGTCAGTTTCTACACAAGTTTATAAAAAGTTTGAAGAAAATAACCCTGAAATCAGTTTATGTATCTATGAATGGCACAATCAGAATGAATTTCTAGAATTTCGTTATATTTCAGAAAGAAGAAGAGATGAATATAAGCAAGTAAATCTTCTAGTAATAATGGAAGAGGATAGAAGCTATTACTATATAATCAAAGATTTATATAAGCTGATATATAATCATAGTAAGCATAAAGGACGAAAATATCTCTGCCGATATTGTCTTCATGTATATTCTGCAGAGAAAGGATTAAAAGAACATATACTAAAATGCAAAGGTCTAAATAATGCTCCTTAGCAATCTCAAATGCTTATAAAAGATAGGAGCATCAAAGCTTTCTATAATCATAAATGCATGCAACCAAACCCATATCATATTTTCTGGGATTTAGAATATTTAACCGAAAATCTAACCCCAGAAGAAAAAACAAAGTTAACGCATACTGAAAGAATACAGATACACAAGCCGTGTGGCTATTGCTACGTTGTTGTACACATGGACAGCTTTTTAAACTATGAGGTTATGAGTTATGATCTATAAAGAGACTCAGATGCGCTTAAAAAATTTATTACAAAACTTGAGGAGGAGCTGGCAAACATACAGGAGGACTTATCAGCACCTGCAGAAATAATAATGGTGCCAAGAGATCTTAAGACATACAATAAAGCAACCGATTGCTGGATATGTAAGGAGCCTTTCATTAAGCCATCTCCAGAAATATTGCAACAATTTGAGGAGGCAAAGCATGGATTGCTAGAACTCAAAGAATGGAAAGCATGTATAGAAAAAAACTACACAAAAAAGAAAAAAATACAGAAAGGATACCAAGAAACTTTAAGTGCTCTTAACTACAAAGTAAAAGATCATGACTATATAAGTGGTAAGTATCGAGGTCCAGCTTATAACACTTGCAACAAAAAATTACGAATAGGCTCTTTTGAAACTAAAGTGCCTCTTATTTGTTATGATTTCTATAGATATGACTCTCATCCACTCATAAAAGTTGTGAGCAAGTTTACAGCTAATAAGCTCAAATGCATCCCAGAGAATATCGGCAAATATAAGGCCATAGATGTAGGACAGCTTCGATTCTTAGATAGTTTTCAACACATGGTAATGGGACTTGATAAATTAGTTGAGTGTCTAAGTGGAAAGCTTGAAAAATTTCCCTTAACTATCAAACATTTTATTAAAAAAGGTTATTCGATAAAAAAGATTAAACTTCTTTTCCAAAAGGGTGTATTTCCATATGATTGGACAAATACATGGGATAAATTTAATAAAACAAGCCTTCTGTCTAGAAAGGATTTCTATTCGCTTCTTAGTCAGCAAAATATCAGTAAAGAAGATTATGAATACACTCAAAAAGCATAGCAGATATTTGAGATAAAAAGTTTCAGAGAATATCATGATCTTTACCTTGAGACAGATGTACTATTACTTGCTGATATATTTATGAACTACACTATCATGTGTTTAAAAGATGATGGTTTAGATCCTTCGCATTACATTTCAGCACCAGGAATGTTTAATAATTCCCTATACAAAAGTAGTAGAGCCAAACTAAAACTCATGACAAATAAGGATAAGTACTTAATGATAGAGAGAGGAATTCGTAGAAGTATAACAATGGCAAGCCACCGGTTTGCTAAAGCTAATAATCCTCGATATCCAGATTACGATTCAGGCAAACCAACATCTTGGATCATGTATGAAGATATGAATGCCTTATATTCCGGTGTGATGATCCAATACATGCCTACAGAAATATTAGGAAAAATAAGCCCAGAAGAGGTTTCAGATATACAAAGTATTGCACCTGATGCAGAAATAGGCTATATGTCTGAAGTAGACTTAGAAGTTCTGGCGCACTTACATGATTTATTTGCAGATTACCCTCTAGTGTCAGAAAAGCAAATAATATCTGAAAACTGGCTTAGCCCATATAATGAAAGATTAGTACATGACAAAGAAGTAGGAGGCAGAAAATATATAATTGGTGAAAAACTAGTCCAGACCCTTTATTCTAAAAAGAATTATGTAGTCCATTATCGTGCACTTCAGTCATATATGGAATTGGGGATAAAGGTTACAAAGATCCACTGCGCTCTCAAATTCTGGCAATCTCCATGAATGAAAGAATATATTGAGAAAAATATTCGTAAACGCAAAATAGCTAAGGCAAATGGAAATGAGTTTGGGGTCATGTATTATAAGCTAAAAAATAATGCAGTCTTCGGCAAGCAGATAGAGAATGTCTGTAAACATATGAGAGTAGAACTACTTCGAACAGAAGAGGATAAAAAAATTAGGCAATTAGTAAGTTTGCCATTATTTGTAGGCTTCAAGCAATTTGAGAGAGGTATTACAGCAGTCCATATGTTAAAGAGCATAGTAACACTAAATAAACCAATCTATGTAGGGCAGGCAATTCTTGACATTAGCAAGGCCATGATGTTTAACTTTTGGTACAATTACATAAAGCCTCGCTATGGAGATAAAGTCCGTCTACTTTATACAGACACAGACTCACTCATCATATAGATAGAAACTGAAGACATATATAAAGATCGAGCAAAGAGGCCAGACATTTTTGATCTTAACTATTCAGACGATTTATTTCTAATGAAGGATGAGACAAAAAGCATACCCATAGGGGAAATGGCATGTTTAAAACCAAAGATGTACTCAGTCCTTCCAGCGGGGCATGATCCTAAAACTCCTGATGATCCAGATTCTGAAGACCCTAAAAAGAAACACGGTATTCAAAAGGCAAAGGGTGTAAAGAAATGTGTGGTCAAAAGGGAGCTTCGACATGATAAATTTCTAGACTGTCTTAGGAATAAGAAACTAACTCGGCATGATATGTACGGTCTTCGCAGTTATGATCATCAAATATATCTGGAAAGAGTAAATAAAATAGGGTTAAATCCATATGATAACAAATGCTGAATCTTACTTGATGGAATTCGAACTCTTCCCTATGGACATTGTGAATTGGATTATATAAACACCTGATAGCATCTGAAATATCTCCTGAGCAAACAGAAGAAAGAGCTATAAAAGCTAAACTTCGTATCAAGGCATAAATGCTTTATAACAAATATTTTTTCAGGTAAAAAAAATTCTAAAGAATATATTTTCATTATTTAAAGTTTTTTTATTGCTATAGTAGAAATATATAAAATGGTTGATTATAAAGATATAGAACTTGTGCAAGTCAAAGTCATAAAAACAGCATTGTGAAAGGGTAGAAAATATAATAATCTTGCGAAAAATTATGAGAACTATCTAAAGAAACTGCGAGCTGAAAAGGATTTGAATAACTATATTAAGACACTTGCAGTAAAGATGTTCCCTAAGGAAGAAGCATATACTGAAAGGCTAGAAAATTATCACAAAAGATATGAAGATAATGATCTCTATAGTAGTTTAGAGAAATTATATAAGCTTTATTATCATATAGCTAAGGAGGAAAATCGCAAAAGGTCAGATGATGAAATAGAACAAATGCTTAAAGCAATGACAATCTAGTCGTCTTTGGTATAAGTTCAGAAGATTTTTGCTGGACCCTCATATATATGAGACTCAAAATGTTCACCATTTTCCTAATGCTATTCTTGAGATCAGTATTATTGCAAAGCAATAACCCAAAGGGTTTAGAGACATAGCCTCTGCACTTCGTAACTCAAAATGCTAATAAACTTGAAAATTGAGGATGCTATCACATTTAATTATCAAGCTTTATAGAGGAGCTATATAGTATCTTTGACGCATCTGATCTTATATATGGCCACAAAATTAATTATAACCACAAAATTACATTACATTATAATGGGCCTTGGGGGAGCGATATCATATGTTTTAAATCCAAAAGCTATGATTCAAAGAAGAGACAGAGTCTTGAATCTCTGATTGATATATTAGTATAATTAATATGTAATGGTAAATCGAATTTTTTGTGCGATGTTATATATAAACTCAACATAAGCAAATCTTAGTCTGGGTCGTGATCCCATTAAGTCACATATGCTACTAATGTCATGCATGTCTTGGATTGATCGATCACCATAAAATAATACCCGAACTTATCATGTTTTTGCTCAAACTTTCTAGCATATTCTCAGTAGCATATATGTAATAGACCTTTTGGGTTATTGCTCTGCAATACTTGGTCTATATACCGAAGTTTCTATAATATAAGGAATGATTTGTTAATGGCCCGTTAAAATGAAATAAATTTGTAAATGATTAATAATAAGTAACTATGTCATTAAAGTAATGAAATGGATAATAGTTATCGCTGTAATTGTTATTATTTACCGAATCTACTAGTTTACATATACATTACACTTTACCTCTATTACCCAGACCACATATTATCATGTCTTTTAGATCTGGGACCTCTATCCTCAAATGAATTTTCATCTTTATTCTTTGATGACAAATCAATATTTTTTCCAGCAAGTTCGAGCCTTTACAAGTAAAATTACTGAAATAGAAAATAAAACACAAAATTTTGTATAAAAGAAGCGATTTTTCTCTCATCGCAACCTCTTCTACAAAATTTTTTGAAAAAATAAAGAATTGCGATATAATTAATATAAGTTTATAAAAGCAAATCCTTTTAAAATAAAAATACTTAGCTCTAATTAAATCTCCATGGATAATTTTCTAACTTGATCTTCTTTGCATAAATATATTCATTCAACAACATCTTGGGTAATATGCTTTTTATAGTTCTTCCTGCTTTTTTTTTATTTCTCACAGTGATATTCCCCGAAAATATCTACTTATATGTAGGGGTCATCATTATATAGTTCTTTTTGTGTAATATTAGAAATAAAATCGCCAACGAATCAAACTCTCATAATACCAAGATCAACACTACTATTGCTAAAGAAATCATCAAGATTAGAGCTGAAATTAATAATGATCTTACTGCAAAAATAAATTTCCGTGATGCTAATTATGCAATAGAAGCACAGAATATCATTACTATAATTAATGATACGTATAAGAAATATAACGAAATCAAACATGTTCTAGAAACCTACTATAATAATTTTAATCAAATTGTTAACGAATTTGA